TGTGCTTGCTTTTTTTTTTTTTTTTGTAAGTTTTATATATTTTTTCTATTTAAAGAACCCCTTAGGATTTCTAAATACCCATTTCTTTCTGGTAAGTTATTGGGAAGAAAATTAATTTGTCTTTGAAAAGACGACTTCTGGACCATTTTCCACTTTCCCATGTGAAGCCTTGTTTTTGCTTACTGATAACATCCTACAGCTTGGGCCCAGGTTATAGCATACGTCAACACCCTGTGTACTTCTGCTTCCCTCTATTTTCTCCAGGTTAAATCCTGTTGTAACAGTCCAAGGCTTCCGATTTTCATGTTATAATGAAATTGTTTATCTATAACTACCTTTGAGTCTCTGTTTAAGGAAAAGAGGGAAATGGTTATTGGCTTGACTTATTAACAGCTACTGCTTTTACCAAAGAGAAGCGCAATGCTGAAGTGAATAACAGAGTGAGTAACTTGTACGCACATGTGAATTGAAACTTTCAACTTAGGACTGAAGCTGTATGTTGTTTGGCTCCTAATGACGAGCAGCCTATTGTGATGAACAAGTCATCCGTGTGTGTTCATTTCTTTATAATAAAGTGTACCAAACTACCTTAGATGAGGTAGAGAATTGTATTTATAGTCATTGTTTAATTTTTTTTTTTTTAAGACAGGGTCTCTCTGTCACAGACCTCCTGCCTCAGCCTCCGGAGTCACTGGGACCATAGCATATGTCACTGTGCCTGGCCTCTAGCTTAGAACAGGAACCAGTCCCAGGCTTCCATGCGGTCCTAGCCAACAGAGCAGAGTTTTAGCAGCAGGCTCCTCTGCATCTGGTTTACTTTCTAAAATGAGCAGATTACTCTGCCTAGTTCTTCAATGAATAAGGTTTATAACAAGAGTATTACAGTATAATAGCATTATATATTAAGAGAACTTAAAATGCCAATTGAAATTTCCCATTTCTGCCTAATCAAAAGAAGAGGCAGCCCTGGGCCAGCAGGTGGCGTGGTGGTTAAGGTGGCAGGATCGTACATGGCTGACTCCATGATTAGAGTCCTTGACCTGGTGGCTTAAAAATCACACCAGGTGCATATGTGTACATGCCCAAAAGCCCAAAAGGAAAATGGAGGAGAAGGGATTGCAGCGTAGTCATTCCCCCCAGGGGTCTTTTACTTTCTCTCTCTCTGTCTCCAGCAAGTGCATGTGCCTTATGGCAAAACTCTAAAAAAAAAAAGAGAAGAAAAGAAAACGAGGCAGCCCTATAGCAGCTACTATTGAGTAGATGCTTATCCTGGATCAAAATAATTGATATAATTGGCTTTTATCCATAATAGTTTTTTAAAATCCCCAAATCTTGGGGCCAGCAGGTGATGTGGTGGTTAAGGCACTGGACTCCCACGTGGCCAACTGTGGTTTTTGAATCCTGGACCCAGTGGCTTGAATCATGCCAGGTACATGTGCATGCTGGCCCAAAATCCCCAAAGGAGAATGGAGGAAAAGGGATTATGTGGCCATTCCCCCCTGAGTGTGGGGGAGTGATTTCTCACTTTCCCTCTCTGTCTCTGTCTGGCTCTCTGGTGAGCGCACATGCCCTATGGCAAAAAAAAAAAACCTAAAAATAAACCAAAAAAAAAAAAAAAAAACCTTCCCTAAAAATACCCAGATCTCCATTTGCTGAGAATAAACCTTCAGTTTACAAAATATCAAGCGTGTTATTATCTTCGATCCTCATTGATGTGGCTTTGAACCATATTCAAAAAGCTGGTGGGTCTTACTGCTCCTACTTGATAGATGAGGAAATGGTCAGCCAAGGAAACTGACTATTCTGCCCAAGGTCTATAGCTAACCTGTAGGACAAGTCCTACTCGAGTTCCGTGTCTTCCTACTGCCCTCCGCTAATGGAAAAGTGAAAAATAGCTTTGAATTCATTGGGCCTAACTCTCTCTTTTGTTTATTCTTCTCTTACTGGGGAGACTCAACCCAAGGAGGGTCCTCGGCTTCATACAGGAAAGAATTCAAAAGCAAGTCTTTGAGAGAGCGTGCCCAAGGTTTATTAAGGAAAGTGTGAAGCAGATCATTCTAGTGGAGTAGCCCTGGGAGGGGAGATGGGCGAACAGTTTCATTCCCTCCTTGGTGGATGAGATCAGGAAGGAAGTCTGCCATGAGCTGCCACTGCCCACTGCTCCCTTGGCTGCATGCTTTGAGAGGAGAGGGAGAACTGTAAGCCAGAAGACGAGAGTAGAGGGGCCCAAACTTCAGTGGCTCTCTTGGCTTCTATGGCTTGGCTCAGTGCCTGGCTAAGTAAGGAAGAGTTAATTCATGACTTTTCTGGGGAAGAAGCTGTGATTTTTTGGGAACCACTGCCCCTCCCATTTTCTGGTCTTATTTAGGTCATTCTAGCCATTGTCTTGATAATTGTAAACTGCAAGTGGCAGGAGGAAGTGTCATTGCAGTTGATGAGGGTATAAGGAGTTTGTGGGTGAGGCAGGGGCAGTTCTAGGTGCCCTCTTGGTTTCAGCTGGTTCAGACCAGTCTCAGCCATCTCCTGTTGTGTCAGGTTTTATTGTAGATGTCGGAATGTCCCTGCCTCAGGCCCATCTTGTCTGATTTCTGTTGTTTTTGGGTCCTTATCCTCTGAGGATGGTTTATTGGCTGTTTTACTGTGTTAGAATTCTCCCCATGCTCCAGAAATGCCTCTGGTTTTATAGACTAATCTTAGGGTTAGCTCTGAACTTTCTCAAACCCCTGACTAGTGGCAGGTTCCGGGTTGGTGTCTTAGTTCTTTTGTTAACGTTTATCTCCACATTTCTATTATTTTTTTTTTCTGTTGAAGATTTAGGAACAATGATTACATCCCGTATAGACTGCTTTCACTGATTATGTATTGGCATTTCCTCATTAAAAACATAAAGTTCGTGGGGGTAGGATGGTGGTGCAGAGGTAGCAGGCTCACCTATGCAAGACTGTTCCTGGTTTATGTCAGGAGAGGGGTACGTACACATTTGCCCATAATCTGGGGCTGGCTGAGGCTGGAGTGGGTGATGACATGAGGACCCTGTTGGGGGTGCTATCTGTCTCTCTCTTTTTCTGTCTCTCTCTTTTTCTGTCTCTCTTGCTCATTGTAGAAGTATTGAGCTGTTGGGAAAGTCATGGCGCATTTTTGCATAGAAAAGTATGTCATGACTTTCCCCAAAACAAATAAATAAAAACGTTTTTTAAAAAAGGTACACTGTAACATTTGAGTCAGGGTGCTTCCCTGAAGCTGGAGGAGTTTTAAGCCACAACACATAAAGCTTTACACTGCATGATGGGAGGTGTTCCCCTGCGTACACGTTCCTGCTGTCTGTGTTGGAGCAAGAAAAGTTCCAAGAATTTGTACTTTATTTCTTTATCTTGTGTGAGTGTCTGTTCTTATCTGACCATTTGGACATAAAGATGAAAGGAAAACGTAAGCATCATTGGTGGTGGTTTTCAAGTGAGCTGAGATTTTTGGTTTAGGGGTGCCTTTGCATCCTTCCGGTAGAAGGAATAATCAGACATGAACTGTGGTGTCACATGTACATAATTTGATTCATTACTATTGCTCGCTGTATCATATTGAGATTTGTATGACTATGTTGTGGTACTCTTTTCAAAATAAAATGTATTGGGGCCATAACTGGTTTTATGAAAAATTCTTAAAGTACCAGAAACTTGTTTTTGTTTTTGAGAGTTTTTTTCGCTATAGGGTGCGTGCGCTCGCCAGACAGACAGAGAGAGACATTAGAGACAGAAAGCGAGAAATCACCCCCCAGGGGGGATGGTCACACCGCAATCCCTTCTCCTCCAATTCTCCTCTCGG